CCCCCAGACTCCCACGAAAGCTCGGCCAGGTTCCCCCCAGGCCCTGGGGGTGCCTCATGGTCCAGCCCCAGCCACAGCCAAGGTGAAGCCCACCCCACAGCTGCTGCCCCCTATGGAGCGACCCATGTCGCCCCGCTCCCTGCCCCAGTCACCCACACACCGGGGCTTGCGGCCTAAGAAGCGCGCCCACAGCCTGAATCGCTATACAGCGTCTGACAGCGAGCAAGAGCGGGATGAGCTGCTGGTGCCGGCTGCTGCCGGGCCCTATGCCACTGTCCAGCGGCGTGTAGGTCGCAGCCACTCAGTGCGGGCACCTGCTGGTGCCGACAAGAACGTCAATCGCAGCCAGTCCTTTGCTGTGCGGCCCCGGAAAAAGGGCCCCCCCCCACCTCCGCCTAAGCGCTCCAGCTCAGCCATGGTCAGCGCCAACCTGGCTGATGAGTCAGCACCTGATGCTGAGACCAAAGGAGCTGGGACTGAGGATGGCCAGCTGGGGGTCCGGGCACAACGCCGGCGGGCCAGTGACCTGGCTGGCAGCGTGGACACGGGCAGTGCTGGCAGTGTGAAGAGCATCGCAGCCATGCTCGAGCTGTCATCCATTGGGGGTGGGGGCCGGGCAGCCCGCAGGCCCCCCGAGGGCCACCCCACGCCTCGCCCTGACAGCCCTGAGCCAGGCAGGGTGGCAACAGTGCTGGCCTCCGTGAAGCACAAGGAGGCCATTGGGCCTGACGGAGAGGTGGTGAACCGGCGCCGCACGCTCAGCGGGCCCGTCACAGGACTTCTGGCCACTGCCCGCCGAGGGCCCGGGGAGCCGGCAGGGCCTGCAGATCACGGCCACCTTGTAGAGGATGGCACTGTCCGGCAGAGGCCTCGAGGTCCAGCCAAGGGAGAGGCAGGTGGGGAGGGTCCTCCCTTGGCCCGGGTGGAGGCCAGTGCCACGCTGAAGAGGCGCATCCGAGCCAAGCAGAGCCAGCAGGAGAATGTCAAGTTCATCTTGACTGAGTCCGACACGGTCAAGCGGCGGCCCAAGGCCAAGGAACGGGAGGCAGGTCCGGAGCCACCGCCCTCACTGTCCGTGTACCAGAATGGCACCGGCACTGTGCGCCGCAGACGGGGCTCTGAGCACGCTGGACCCCTGGAGCTGCCCCCGCCACCCGCACCCACCGAGCCCCTGCCCTCTGATCTGATGCACTTGCCCCCGCTGCCCCCACCAGACAGTGATGCCCGGAAGCCAGTCAAGCCGCCTGTCTCTCCCAAGCCTGTCCTGGCTCAGCCGGTACCCAAGATCCAGGGGTCACCCACACCCGCCTCCAAGAAGGTGCCGCTGCCAGGTCCCAGCAGCCCAGGTAGGTGAGGGAGCCAGCTGGGGAAGGGCCTCCACCCCACCTCCCCACTCCGTGGTCTGAAGGGTTTTCTCTTCTTGGATTTGATGGCAGCCAGGTGGGAGTAGGGTGGAGTGTCCTCAGACTGTCTCATCCATCCACCTAGAGGACAACTCTGCCAACCCAGAGCTGGGAGGAGGGTGGCTGGTCCTCAACTTGCTCCCTGAAGGAGGCACAGAAACTTATTAATAGCAGCACCAGGGGAGGGAGGACTCTGACCCAGCTGGAGGGGGATCCCAGCACTCAGGAGGGAGGGGAGAGGCGTCCAGGCAAAAGGATCCGAGGTGCAAAGGCCCTGTGGCAGTCAAACAACCCAAGGGCACACCTAGAAGGGGATGCAGTGGGGGAGGGGAGGGGGCGGACCGGGAGGGATTTGGAAACAGCGATGCCACCAGGGTTTGCATGGGGAAGCACGTTCTTTGGTTGCCATGGGAGGCTGGGGTGGGAGGGGCAGTGGAGAGCTGCGGCGGCGGCGGCGACGCTGTGCTGAGGACCACGGTACCTCCGCTCCTGGGTGGGAGGCAGCGG